TCCTGTCAGTGCTTCAGGGACCATATGGGATGCCAGGGATCGAAACCAGATCAGCTGCATACAAGGCAAGTATCCTACCCCCTATACTAACACTCCTGTCCCATGTGCTGTATTTTTAATGTCAAACTAGTTATGGATGGGAGAAAAGCAAACACTAGTCCTCCGGAAAGAGTCCTGAAAGTCATTAGATCCTGGAGGTGGATGTTGTTTAATGATGTTTGTTACCTTCAAGTTTTACAAAGAACAGATTATCATTCTCTAGAAATCATTAACACACTGATTTTAATCTGACTATATCAAAACCGAATCCTTATTTTCCCCAAACCTGATATCCATTTTATTCAAACTTACTTTCCTAATCAGCCCTATAAAAAGGGTTTTGTCAGATAACAAGGCTACCATAGTCTCAGGTTTCAGGTACTCCGAATTTTTTTTTTACCCTTATATCCCATTCCAGCACTGACCTTTTTCTTTTGAATGGCAAACATCCAAACTAGAATTTGTTAACAATGATGTTTGAGAGTTGGTGACAATATGCAAATTCCTGGACCTATTACTAAGTCAGGAATAGGGTCCAGACATCTATCTGTTTTAGCAAGTGTCCAAGTAATTCCAATACATGCTTCCTGGGAAAAACTGACTTAGATAATAAGATAAATAAGAACCTTAAAAAAAAAACAATCATGTGAGGTTGGTGCTGAAGAGAGAAAACAGTGGGTAGGGCATTTGCCTTGCAGGTGGCTGACCTGGGTTCAATTTCTGACATTCGTATACTCCCTGGAGCCTGATCAGAGTAAATTCTGAGTGCAGAACCAGGAGTAACTCTTGTCAGGTATGACATCCTGCCCCTTTCCCCAACCAAACCAAACCAATAAAACTTATGAAGCTGACTATAAAATACTCACCTTTTAAGCAAACAGAGGAAAAAGATTCAAATACTAAAATAGAGGAAAAATTCAAAAGAACTTTTAGATATTCTGGGATGGGTATTTCAGAAACCTGTAATTAGTAGACAAAACAAATTCTAAAGCTAAAGTAGTTGGTACTATGATTTAAACTATTTGATGGTGCTTTTGTTTTGAAGGGCCACACCCAGTGGTGCTCAGGGCTTACTCCTACCTCTGCACACTCAAGGAACACTCCTGGTGACTTGGGGGATTGTATGTGGTACTAGGGGTTGAACTTGGGTTGTCCACATTCAAGGCAAGTACCCTCCCCTCTGTACTATTTCTCTGGCCCTGGTGACTGGAATTTAACTAACAAATTAACAGAACATCAATTAAAACATTTTTTGGTATTCTTGTGAAAAAAAATCCTTTATCAAACACAGGAAAGAGATGAAATATCTGATTAATATACCAAAAAAGAAAGCACTGACATGGAGTAGAGTAAATATTTATTTTTCAAGATTTGAAAAATGTTTTACATTGAAAGTACCTTTATAAACACATAAGTGCCTCTTTTTTCAGCCACATACATAGTCATGGCTCAGAAATATTCCCAAATCAAGAATTTGGATTCTACAAAAATTCTGAAATTGCTTGTCATATTTAACTCCAACTTTTGTATGCAGTTTTCTGGGCTTAGTTGCTGGGTTAATTGCTCCAGAGAACCAGAAGATGTGACATCATCAGATTTCGCCTTTGACAGACAGGATAAGTTAGAGGTTTTGTGAAGAAATGTCATTTATGTATAATTTAAACATTTATATTAATGATCTCAAGTAGAAAAGTGCCCTTCATGGAATAAATGCCAAAACTGCCATTTTATATCTACCCCCCTCCAAAGAAGAAAATGAGTGATAACTATGACTATTGACTATGTTTAAAATCCATCCAATTTGGCAAGTGTTTACTAAATTGAGGTTTAGTAAAAATTTCTTAAATTGATGGAACTCTTGGGTATATTTCATTAAGGAAATAAGTACCCTGAGTGTAATAGTAAGCCTTTTAATTACGTTGGAGGAGCCTTATTATTCTGTTCTTTGTTTTGAAACTAAGCATGAATTTCAATATGAAATGAGTTCCAGGGAATGTGTGTTGTTAATCTTCTCTGCTTGTCCGTGGCCTCAATTCCAGATCTGTTTTGTTTGTTGTTTAATGTCTGCAGTGCCCCACATCTTTGGATGATGATGCAATGGACACATGGCCTTTATTTATCTAAGAAGAGTTGACTGAACCATCCTGTTCCTGCAGTGTATGAAAACAGACAGCTGAATATTTGGAAAAACCTCAAAGATCCATTGATTGTTTTCATGCATCCTTTTGGTGTCAGGAGTGCGTGTATGTGCGTTTGTGTGTGTGCACTGAACAGCTATTGTAGAAAATATAGAAATAAGTGAGACTCATTAATTAGTGTAAGACTACAAAACTTCAACATAAAAATGCCCTATTTACTTCAAAATAAGTGATTGAAAATGGGTTAGAACATTTATGCGATTTTCTATTGATGAATAATTATACTATTTTGAAAATGTGGACATTAGTAATCTTGAGAGAACATCATCATCATCATCATCATCAATTTTCATTCCCCATGCATCCCCCCATCTGATAATTCATAAACCGTTGGGTAAAGGTTTTTGTTTTGCTTTCGAGCCAGACCCAGTAAGGCTCAGGGCTTAGTCCTGGGAGGGCTCAGGGTACCATTACGGGGTTCCAGGGGTTAAGCTTGGGTCAGCTGTATGTAAAGCAAACATCCTAATCTCTGTACTACCTCTCAGGCCCCATCATTAGGTAAAATTTGAAGGCTTTATTTAATTATATTGATTACAAACTGTCTGTTGTTCCTAGTTTAGATGTCACTATTAAAAACAGCACTGTGTCATTCACTGCTCCTTCTCCTCTTTTAACATTTAGGGTTTTCTTTGAAGCTTGAGTGCCTTAAATTCCAAATTTCTCTTTGACATACACACACTCTTAAATTTCTAGCATGCGTATTTATGACTGTGAACTACAAATGTCTAGGGAAACATCATAAGCAGTCTCCCCCCCCCACCCAAACTCCCCCGAATTCATAACTTTTTGGAAACTACAAAACGTTTCTATGAAGTTACACTGTCAGGCCAGGGAGTGATACAAACAGTAGAGTACATGCCTAGCATGTGTAAGACCCTGAGTTTGATCCCTTGCTTTGCATTCTTGAGCATTCCTGGGTTTACCCCTGGTGGCCCTGATTGCATATGAATCTGAGCATAATTCCACAGCCTGGCTGAGCACTGAACCATCCACTGGCACTGCTAGTGGATCCAGGCACCCTAGCACGGTTGGGTGTGGCCTGTTTGACTTTCTTTCTTTCTTTCTTTCTTTCTTTCTTTCTTTCTTTCTTTCTTTCAAGTGAACACCCGTAAAAGGACAAAGTTATTATTTTCCTTTGAAAGGTGGAGGTCATCACCTGGGAAGTTCCCATTGTTTCCTCAGTGAACCCACACCCTGTGCTCTGCTTCCCCCCCCCCCCCCCACCAGCACACACACACACACACACACACACACACACACACACTCAGTAGTGCTCAGGGCTTAACCCTGGCTCTGGGCTCAGGGATTACATCTTGTGGGCTTGGGTACCATAAGGGATGCCAGAGACCAAACCCAGATAAGCCATGCAAGGCAAGCAGCCTACCCACTGTATTATCTCTCTGGCCCCTGAACCCACACTACCTGACGGCCGTGACCCAGATCAAGCTTAATACATATTTTTCAAAAATAGAGGCTGTCCTGAGGTTATCTCCTTGTATGGTCAACAAGAAAGTACAGCTTTCTCACATACCTTCAGGGCCACAGAAATAACCCCTGGTGCATAAGATTATAATTTAAGAGGGGTGGGGGAGGGTGGACCACTAAACCTCGTATATTTCAGAAAAATGCTGCTATACTGTCAGGTTTAGGATATTGAAAAAAGTTCTCTGCAAACCCTTCAAGTTTCCCCCAATACAAGGAGCAATGAGTATGGCAACCTCAGCAATTTTATGTCACTTAGCCAGATGTTAGCAATTCAAGATGCAATGTTTGTGGCTGAGATCTGTGCAGGAATAGGCCAAATGCTTGCTTCAGAAAGAAAACCCTCAGTTCCTAGGGATGCCAGAGAATATGGAGACTCCACCTCAGTCCTCACTTCACTCTTTCAGAAACCCAGCGTGAACTAACAGTTTTTAAATATTGCCCAGAAAAGTGTTAAAAATCAAGTTTCACATAAAAAGCTTAAAGCCAAAATGAATGAAGTAAAATAAATATTAAACATAAAGAGTTTTTTTTGTTATGCTTTGTAAGTGCCAATCAGCATGATGTAAATACTATTCCACAGCCAGAATCTATTTAAAAACCATACAGAGTAGAACAACATTTTTTTAGATGTAAACACTTAAAGCTAAGTGCCTGTGATCCCCTCCACCTGTGAAAACATCTATTTTTGTTCTAGTTAAATAAAAGTTGGTTCTGTGAGTCAGTAACTATTTTCCTTCTGATTTTCAGCAATGCACTGTAATGAGTTTCAGGTGGAAACCCATCATGTTCACTGATCTTGACCTACTTTCAGATCTGGATATTTATATTTTGAGAATAATGCAAGATAAGAGCATGGCTCCTAACAACTTGCTATTATTATCTTTTAAGAGGAATTTTCTTTGGGTAAATTGTAATTTTCACAAATTAAAACTCAGAACATCAGATGGGATGGTGAACCTGGGCTCTGTTGACCATGATCATTAGTACCACAATGTCCTTTCTCACATATCCATGTGGATGAAAGCCTTTCTATATATCTCATGTAGCCTACAGGACAACAGAGCCAAAGTCCCTTTAAGATTTAGAGATTGCCCTGCCCCCACTTTCTGAACTTGCCACTTCATCCTTGCAATTTGATCACATTTTCCAGCTTGTCAGGGGAGGCAAGACAGAAATAGCAGAAGGTTAACACTTCCCTACAAGGTAACTGTGCTCTTTTCACTTTCCATGCACATTCCAAACAGGTAACCCTCCAAGGAAAAAAGCAGTGCACTCTGCTCAAGAAAGTATACAGAACAGAGAAGTTTATTTTACACTATTCGTCCAAGAAAACAATTGCCATAAACCAGTGCAAAATGTGCAACAGAATCAGTAAGTGTGTCTTAGCTCTGAGAGCCCAAATTGGTGATTTCCTCTCCTGTTCCTCTATCTGGCAGGTGCCCCATCGGCCACTGCTGGCCTTGGTTTGCACCATCAGTGGAAACATCTGACCAATTTTTAGCAGGTTATTTTTACAATTCATACCAGAATGTGTACAAGGAATGGGAAAAACCATACCGAATGAATAAGTGATCAGTGCTTAAAGTAAATACAAGGGACAGCACAGGCAAGAATCCACAGTTTCAATAAATACAAGTGTAACAAGCATGGGTGCGGCTCAACTTGGTGGAACTAGTCTGCATAATAATTCAGCATCATATAAAATCTAGCAGGGCTGTTGAGCAGTGGTTGGCAACAACATTCACAATAACTTATGCCCATGAGTGATTCTGCATTGAACACATTCTGTGGTTCCGAAGGGGACAGTTCTCTCTCTCTCTCTCTCTCTCTCTCTCTCTCTCTCTCTCTCGCTCTCGCTCTTGCTCTCTCTCTCTCTTTTCTCTTTTCCTTGCCATCCCTCCAAGAGGGGAGGAGAACAGCTGGAGCAGCTTGGTGGTGATGTCCCATGAGGAAGGACATTGGTCCAAGAGCCAGCTGTCAGGGTCCAGTGTACTCAATACCGAGTGGCAAATTGGGACTTTATTGAGGACGTCTGTGCAAAGTGCGCTTCTCTCCATTTTCCGAGAAACCAGTGTCTGTTAATTCTGCACGGAAAGCAGTGGTAGCCTCTGGGTCACTCCCTCTGGGTCACTCCCTGTTACCTCAAATCCCAAGCGACGAGAACACGTCTTAGGGCCTCACACATTGGGCGGCTTCGTCGCTGACGGCCTAGCTCCTCTCAGGTGCGTAGTTTAACCAGGGCCCCTTGTCAAAGGCCTCAGGCAGGCTAGAACTATTGCTTGAAAGACTAGAAAAAACCTACTCAGAAAGCGATGGTGGTCATGGGTATGAGGAAAGCTGTCTTCTGTTTAAAACCCTTGCACTTCCCTGGGTAACGCCCGAGGACTTTCAGGGAGGCAGGCTGGAGCATGACACAGCATGCCCTCACCCACTGTTCCTCAGACAGGTGGACATGTACTCAACCCCTGCAGATGTCAACAGGCCCTGGGATTCGCATCCCAGAAGGCACAGTAGAGACAACCTGGGGACCATCCACTAGTCCAGAGCTCAATAAAAAAAGATGCAAGAGGAGCACTCCATCTCTGGAGGGAAATGAATAAAGAAGGAGCCTCCCTAGAGCAAAACAACACCCCAAACCCTAGGAATTACCTCAAAACAGGATCATCCCCACCTCTCCCCATCTCACTGCACCCTCTCCTCTCTACCTCTTTGACAGTCTCAGGTCATAAATTAGGGTTGTCTTCCATTCAATAACTTATAAAAGAAGGAGGGGTCATAACAAGTTTTGCCTGGCTTAGGCCAGTTAGCAGCCAGTTTTTCTAGAATCTCAGTCTCTGTTCAAAAATGGAGCTTAAAAATTCACGTGAATGTCGGAGTCTTCACATGGAGGAGGTGGAGGGCACAGAGGGTGGCCAGGGGGAACCCAGGAGGACCCAAAAAGGAGGGGAGGAGGGAAGGGGAGGGAGAGTCTGGGCCCCCAGACAGCTTCGGAGGCCGGTGAGCTCCCAGCCCTGGGGCCCGTGTGATTCAGGGTGCAGCCAGGGTCTCGTATTGCACGGAAGAAGGACTGCCTCAGCAGGCAGCCCTGCCCATCAGTGGTCCCCGCACATGGGCAGGTTCACGAAGGTGAACACGTTGAACTCGGTCATGATGGAGAAGCACAGGAACACACCATACAGGAAAAGGCACCCGCATCCAAGCTTCTTGTCCAGCTGCCACTTATTAAGGTGAACCCCGAACACCTGCAATACATGAAGGAGGTCAGAAGGCCCTTGGAGGGGCATAGGGCCAGGGGGCAGCAGGATTGCTCTTTTTAATTTTTTAATTTGAACTTTATTTAATTTTATTTTGGTGGCAAACACCTGGCAGTGCTCAGGGGTTACTCCTGGCTCTGTGAATTGAACCAGGGTCAAATAAAAAAAATTCAAATCATTCAACACCATATAATGGCTAATCTCATTTACATAAATATGTTCTCAACTCTGGCTACTGAAATGTATTGTATTAAAATTTGTTTTTTTTCGGGATGCCAGGGATTAAACTGGGGTCAGCCACATGCAAGGTAAATGCCTAACCCCTAAATTATCTCTCTGGCTCCAACTTTTTAAAAGTCACATGATTTTCAAAGTTATTTGTAATAGTGTTATTTCAGGCCTATAATGTTCCAACCCCAATCCCACCAGCAGCACACCCTTCCCTCTACAATGTCCCCAGTTTCCCTCTCACTTCCCAGCATGCCCCTTGGCAGGCATAAAACTTGCTCTAATAATACTTAAAAGAATAGCAAGTGGAATTATCAGAAAGTAAATTAATACAAGTCAGTTTGTGATGGCTGACTGCTATCTATAATCATAAAGCAGTCAACCATCACAAAATGTAATCTCCTCATCGGCCATCCTCCAGAACTCATGGCTGCTTCTCCTGGAAGGGAGCATAAAATGAGACCCCCATAATCATACTCTCTCTCTCTCTCTCTCTCTCTAAGGTAAAGGTAAAGGCCCTCCCGTTGATCATCAATTTGCTCGAGCGGGTCCAGTAACGTCTCCATTGGAGACTTTGTTGTTACTGTGTTTGGCATATTGAATACGTCACAGGGCGCTTGCCAGGGTCTGCTGTGCGGGCGAGATACTCTCGGTAGCTTGCCGGGCTCTCTGAGAGGGGCGGAGGAATCGAACTCGGGTCGGCCATGTTGGCTGCGTGCAAGGCAAATGCCCTACCCGCTGTGCTATCGCTCCAGCCCCCCCCCCCTCTCGAGAGAGAGATATCGGAGAGAGACTGGTAAGCTACTGAGAGTATCCCACTTGCACGGGCAGAGCCTGGCAAGTTCTCTGTGGCATATTAGATATGCCAAAACCAGTAACAATAATAGGTCTCATTCCCCTGACCCTGAAAGAGCCTCCAATCATTGGGAAAGATGAGTAAGGAGAGACTGCTTAAAATCTCAGGGCTGGGACGAATAGAGACATTACTGGCGACTGCTTGAGTAAGTTGACGAACAAGGGGATGACAGTGATACAGTGATACAGTGACTGCTATATGATGTTACCTTATGTAAATAAAGAAATTCAAATCATTCAACAAAATATAGTATAATGCCGATTCTCATTTACATAGATAAGTTTTCCACTCTGGCTTCAAAAATATATTGCATTGAGTTTTACTTTGTATTGGATCTTATTGTGGTAATTATAATGTCTTCCTTGTCAAAAATAAAATTTTTAAAAACTTGAAAAATTCCTTTTAGAGTTTACACGAAATAGATAAAACCTCCAAATGTAAAATTTAAATGGGAAAATCTGAATAGGCCTAAAAACTACGGTGTTTTATCCTAAGAAAGAGAGAATAGAATGAGACATCATCTCACACCGCAGAGACCGACACACATCAAAAAGAACAAGTGTTGGTGCCAATGGGGGAGACAGGAACTCTTCTTCACTGCTGGTGGGAGTGCCAAATTGTCCATCATTTTTGGAAAACAATATGGGCGATATGGGCAAAAAAACAATACGGGCAAAAAACTAGAAATTGAGCTTCCATTTTACCCAGCAATACCACTTCTGGGAATATACCCAGGGGGTCCCACAAAACACAACAGAAATACCATCTGCACTCTTATTTTTATTGCAACACTATTCACCATAGCCAGAATATGGAAACAATCTGAGTGCCTGAGAACACAGATGACTGAATAAAGAAACTATAGCACATTTACACAATGGAATATGATGCAGCTGTTTAAAAAATGAAGTCTGAGTTTGCTTATAATTGAATGGACATGGAAAGTAGCATGCTGAATCAAATAAGTCAGAAAGAGAGGGACAGACATAGAATGACTGTATTCATTTGTGGAATATAAAAAATATAGTATGAGACTAATGTCTGAGGCCAGGAAAAACGGGGTGAGGAGGATTGGTCAATGGTTGAAGCTTGCCACAGGTGTGTGGGGAGCAGAGGACAGTTAGGATAGAGAAAATACCAGTATGCCAATAATAGTTGGATATGATCATTCTGGATTAAAACTGAATGTTGAAAGTAGGTAAGGAGATATACATGATCTCCTTTCAGTATCTCTATTGCAAACTTTAATGCCCAAAAGGAGAGACAGAGACAGAATCAGAGGAGACTGGGAAGGAGAGAGAGAGAGAGAGAGAGAGAGAGAGAGAGAGAGAGAGAGAGAGAGAGAGAGAGAGAGAGAGGAAAAGTGCTTGCCATAGAGGCAGGCAGGGGAGAGAAACTGGGAACATTGGTGGTGGGAAATATACACTGGTGAAGGGATGAATGTTGGAACATTGCGTAACTGAGACCCAATCATGAACAATTTTGTAATTGTGTATCTCATGGTGATCAATGAAAAAAAACCCCAAAATGAGAAAATTGGTTTTATATTAGAAAATATATTATAGATATTGCTTAAATTTGGCAGTGGAATTTCTTGACTGTATTTATCCTTCATGTTGCCTAAAGTAGTTCAGCAAAATGAAGAAGAGGGAGTCAGCAAAACCTGCTAGTTGCAGAAAAATCATTTTAATGATGGGACTAGTTGACACAGTCACTGTGGCCACAAGAACCTCCTGGAACTCCAACCCTGCAGTGCTCTGAGACAACATCACCTGCCTGCCCCTTCCCCATCTTATTCTCAGGAGGCCCTACCCTCCCTGAGATGCTATCAGCTCCTGGAGGTCCAGAATTCTTCCCATTCCTGTGCATGGAGACAGTGGTTATCCCTCTGCTCCTGTGTTGCTTCCACACTGTCTTCTTCTCTCATCCCTCAAAGCTCCAAGCTTGCAATCTGGTCTTCTTACTGATCTTACTGGGACCATCGATGCTATAGCCATGATCTCGGTCCCCGTCTTTAGAGTCATAAGTCATGGCTCACGGGTACCCCTGTGGTCCTTCCTCGTGAATTCACTATTCACCCACAGCATCTTCCCAACACCTCATCCTTAGCTGCTTGCTCCTATTACTATCTCCTAGCAGGGGTTTAAAGGGCTAGCCATAAGAGGACACCTAAACTTAAATAAAAAGTAAAACTCAGTTTTTCATTTGCAGTAGCCACATTTTAGTCAATAACCATGTGGCCAATGACTACTGTTCTGTAAAGGTATAGGCCACTAGACATGTCCGGTGCCCACCAGTATCTAGCAGAAAAGGCTTTGTTATTTTGGTGTCAAACCTTGCATTCTCTGACTGCAATCTACTGTCTTCCTCACCCCTACTACGAGTCCCCTGTCCCAAGTCTGTGGGTCACTCTGACTCACAATTCACTGAGATCACTACTGCTTCATGGCATTTCGTCCACTTTGTCCTTCCCTCTCCATCTTTCTCAAATACCAGCGATCCCTAGAATCTCTTCTGGGAGTCCACCTGGACTTCTTTTTCTCTGTCTAATTTTGTTATCCTTGCTGACCAAGCTATGATCCTTTGGCTTCTCTCTGTTCTTTTCTGCTTTTACCCAGAAGTAAAGGAAAGATTAGAGGAAGAGGCCCTGCCATGAAGATGAGGTTCACTTTTGATTCCAGACCACAGACTGGGACAGGGTGTTACTGCTTGCCAGTTTTTTCCATCTTATGTGTACACTTCATGCCTCTCTTCAGACTCTATACATGTGCTTCTCTAACCTCAAAATCTGACTCCTTTTCATGGGGCTCCCTCCACCATTTGCACCTGTTATCATCCACCTATCCACCTCCAAGTGCTCCTTGTTCCAGATTTTATTTTTTTCTCTTGCTAAAGGACATGGTTCCATGGTTTTATCGTTATTCTCCCACTCCTAGATTACTTTAATGGGAAAACAAGAATGGCACTATCCTTGCTTAAAAACAATTACATTTTTTCTGATTTTCATCTCTCTCCTTCTCTCTTTATTAAAAGCAAGATAAACAAAAGAGCTGTCAAAAACACCTACGTCCAAGTTCTCTCCATACATTCTCTTTTCTCTTTTCAACTTAAACTTCTATACCTTTGTGGACAGTTCCACAAAGTCATGCTCTTCAAGGGCCACTAAAAACAGCACTTTTTTCCCAAATGGATAATGCTGGTGATGCATCTCCCACATTGGAGCTCCCTCCACCTTGAAACACATTCTACATGTGTCTTCCAAAGCCATGCCTCCTTGGACTTCCCCCTCCCTCCCTCCCTCCCTGCCTCGCTTTCCCCCTCCCTGCCTCCCTCTGTCCCTCCCTCCCTCCTTTTCTTCCATACTTCCTCACTATGAATTACAAAATTATTCATGATTGAGTGAGTTTTAGGCATACGATGTTCCCACATGAATTTCTTCACCAGTGTCTACTTCTGTCCACCCATGTCTTCACTTTCCCTCCTGCTCCCCAGCCTACCTCCATGATACTTTCTTATTTTTTCCCTCCCCCATCCCTGTCTTTTAGGCACTGTGCTTTACAGTACTGTAAACCACTGTAACTTCATAACCTATAACTCTCTGAGTACACCAAGACTCAGATCTTGGGCTTCTCTTTACCAAGGGAGGTTTGCTCCTATGGTGGAGTCCAGTTGCATAACCTTAGATACAGTCTACATTCTGGTATCTTCAGCTAGGACAATTCTTTACTCACACTCATCTTCCAACAGCTTTCTTGACCTCTGCTCTTGGATGTCAAAAAAGCACTAAAAAGTTAAGGTATTCGAAATATTTTTTCCTTGTGAAACTTATTTCTCTTCAAATTTTTAGCTATTCTGTTTTTTTAGGGTTTTAATTTTTTTGCTTTTTGGGTCACATCTGGTGATGTTCAGGGGTTACTCCTGGCTGTGCACTCAGGAATTACTCCTGGCAGTGCTTGGGGAACCATATGGGATGCTGGAGATCGAACCCCAGTCAGGCACTAACAAGGCAAATGTTCCCACTGGATGATCACTCTGGCCCTCAGTTATCCTGTTATGACAGCTCAATGTCTTAACAGATCTACAATATAGTCCAATGTCAGGCATAGTCTTGGACATGACAGAGAGTTTGCTTTTCTATTCACTCATTGATGACATCTTTATAGACCTCAGTTGTTCAACTGTATAATAGTTGCTAGTGAGGTTGGTATCAGGGACTATCTCATGGGAAACTTGTCAGTTCCAAATGGGGAAATATATGCAAACCATTAAGCACAATATATAGCTAGGACTAGCATCATAACCCTAAGCTATACCATTCCTGAAGAATCTCAACTACAAAAGGATGAATTACGTAGATTCTATTTTACATAAGGCAGTATTTGTTTGGGTAAAACCATGACATTTGATTCACATTTTATCCCATAAATTACCTCTCTTGCTTCCCGTCTATCTTTATAAATTCTCACTCCCTAGTGCATATACTTAATATAAACACTAGTATTTCCCTGAAAAATTAAGAAAACCCTCATTGCTTCTCAGAGTGTATTAATATAAAAAGTCAGCAGCATACTCATACATTAATGATTACTTCTTGTGAATCAGTGGGTGTACTAGTGCAAATTTGTTTCCACCAAATGTATTAGTTGAGTTGGAATATGAAATTATACAAGTAGTTATAATTCCTAAGTTACTGAAATGGCCAGTAACTGGCTAAATCATTTGATTTATGGAAATGCTTTGTAACCACCTGGAGTACTTAGTTCATTGGACTCAAACTTCTCTAACTAATGTTTCAGGAAAAGGAGATTCTCTCCTTTACTTGTGATAATATGGTTTGTGTCTGACACGAAACACAGTCATGTTTCTGAGAGTGGGCTTCAGGAACTTGAAGGCCTTCTGAAGAGTTGCTCAGATCCACTTCTAGAAGAAATAATCATGAACAAGATGGACATCTGGAGGTCAATAGTCCTTACTAACAGGGAGGCCAACCCCATCTGGTATCCAGACAAAACCCAAGGAACCAAAACACCCAAGGTGTGGGTGGAAACCATGGAAACCTAGTATGGAGAACTGCGAACCTACCGTGACAAAGACAGATGCCAGGAGCAAGCCCACAGAGTAAATCAGTCCCCTGCTGTTCAGCCGAATCTACAAGAGAGGATGAAAGAGAATTAGGTTTCTGCTTAGTTTAGAGCACTCAATCAACTGCATATCAATGATTTCAAGTCTATCTTCTAGGATGGAGAGCCAAAGGATAGCCTTGGAAGCCATGCTCTGCAGCTTGCAGGACATGCTTCTGAAAACACTCAGGGGAGTTGTTGTCTCATTCAATTCCAGCCCAAGGGAATCTTCCCATCTGCAGTGGTGCCTTTTGGACTACCCTCCCACTCCCCAGCCCCTGACATTTCCTTATTAAATTGAACTCCAAGTAAAATTTTAAACATGGATGATAGAAGCAAAATATTGAACAAACATTAATAGTCTCCTAAATCTTTATTTGGGGAGGTGCTTCTAAGTGACGCTCAGGAGGTTTTGTGTTTCTGCCACACCTGGTGATGCTTAGGAATTACTCCTGGCTCTGCATTCAGGATTTGCTTCTGGTGGTGCTCAGGTGACCAGACAGGATGCTGGGGATCGAAACTGGGTCAACTGGCTGCAGGGCAAGCACCTTACCTGCTGTACTATTGCTCCAACCCCAATGCTCAGGAGGTCTAGGGACCATCAACTGGATGATGAATGATTCAATGCAAAAGCCTGATGATGTGAGGCTTCCCGGGCCCTGAAGTACTAGGGGTTATCTTAGCAACCCCAGTGGTGCTGGGAGCTTTCAGGGCCACACCCATCCACAAGGGACCATGTGCTGGGGGAAACTAAACCCAGATAGGGACATGTTAGGCATGTTACCTAACCACTGTACCATCTTCTGGTCCTATATTCTTATTTCTTTTGCATTAAAATATGTGAGCTATTTTCCTGACATTGTGGAAGAAAGATGGAAGAGTGTTGTTTTTCCTGAGTAAGCAGAGGGAAGAGTTAATTTTCTGTTTCTCATATTCAAAAAAGAATTTTGTTTTGTTTGTTTTTCACAGTAATGCCATGGAGTTAGTAGCCAAACATTGAGGAAAGTTCTTAGCAAAAAAATTTTGGAATTCTTAAAGGATAGGCCTGTCCAATAGAACACACTTCAGTGATAGAAATGTCCTTCATCTGTATTCTACTATGTAGAAGGCATTAGGCACATGTGGCTGAAGAGCATTCAATATGTGGTTCATGCAACTAAATAATCAGATTTTCATCCTATCATTAATTAGGTAAAGGTAAAGGCCCTCCCGTTGATCGACGATTTGCTCGAGTGGACCCAGTAACGTCTCTATTGGAGACTTTGTTGTTACTGTGTCTGCATATCGAATACGTCACGGGGAGCTTGCCAGGCTCTGCCGTGCGGATCATTAATTATCCAAACTTATATTTAAAAACCCACACAGGACTTGTGCCTGCTATATTAGGCAAACAGGTTGAGAGTATTTGGAGCTGAGGTGATCAATAAAAAATTATAGAGTTTCTCCCACAAAGAAAGTATGGAAAAAAGATGTCCCTTTTGCTTTGTTTTTTATTTTTTTTAAAAAATGATTGTAATTAAAGTAATGTGTTTACAATGGCGTTGGCATTTCTGTACAGTACCTCCCCTCACCAGTATCAAAGGGTATATCAAGTTTTAAAAAATGTTTTTAATTGAATCACTGTGAGATAGACCTTTACAAAGATGTTTATGATTAGGTTTCAGTCATACAGTATTCCAACACCCATCTCTCCACCAGTGTACATTTCCCAGCACTAATGTTCCCAGTTTATCCTTTTTGCTTTGATAGAGGCCATGAGACTGGCATCCTCCTGAAAGAGGGGTTATGACTTTTGATTTTTGGTTTTGGGTCACACATAGCTGTTCTCAGTGCTTACTTCTGACTCTGCAAACAGAGATCCTCCCTGTCAGGCTTGGGAGACCATGGGTGATGCCAGAAATCTAACCTAGGTTGGCCGCATGCAAGCCAAGTGCCTTTTCCACTGTGTTATTTCTCTGGAACTCAAGAGGAAACCTTGTTAGCAGTGGGGTTCATAGAGTGCTCTGGGAAAATCATTAGCAGTATCGTTTGAGGCCTTATTAAAAATGCAGATTCTAAGAGCCCATCAGGATTCCTTAGTCAGAAACTCTAGGGACAGGGAACGTCAATCTGTGCTTTCACAAACTTTATGGGTGATGCTGATGTACAAAAAAGTTTAAGAAGAACTGATTGATTTAGAGAAAGTATAAAGACTAACTCCACTGCTTCTTTCCAGAGTTCTGGGGATGGGACTTCAATATTCATTTTCAATATTTCTTTCGGAAATTCTTTTGTGTGTCCAGATTTGTAATCCCCCTCACCTCCCCACTTCATCCCAGACTTTTACTGCTTGGAGTCAAAGACTCCCTGTATCACAGAAAGAAACAGATCGACTTTCTTTCTTTCTTTCTTTCTTTCTTTCTTTCTTTCTTTCTTTCTTTCTTTCTTTCTTTCTTCTTTTCTTTCTGTCCTTCCTTCCTTCCTTCCTTCCTTCCTTCCTTCCTTCCTTCCTTCCTTCCTTCCTTCCTTCCTTCCTTCCTTTTTTTCGTATGTAGGAGTACTGCTGGGCTGGAGCGATAGCACAGCCGTAGGGCATTTACCTTGCGCTCTGCCAGCCTGGCCTAGCTGGGTTCGATTCCTCCATCCCTCTCGAAGAGCCCGGCAAGCTACCAAGAGTATCTCACCTGCACAGGAAAGCCTGGAAAGCTACCTGTGACGTATTCAATATGCCAAACACAGTAACAAGTCTCAAAATGGAAACGTTACTGGGCCTGCTTGAGCAAATCGATGAACAACGGGAGGACAGTGACAGTGATAGTGACAGGAGTACTGCTATTTATTCAGCCATTGATTAAGCTGATTGAATTGGGCATGAATTCCACATTCACGGTCACGGTCCTCCCGTTGTTCATCGATTTGCTCGAGCGGGCCCAGCAACGTCTCCATCATGAGACTTGTTGTTACTGTGTTTGGCATATCGAATACATCACGGGTAGCTTGCTAGGCTCTGCCGTGCGGGCGAGATACTCTCGGTAGCTTGCCGGGCTCTCCGAGAGGGGCAGAGGAATCGAACTCAGGTCGGCCATGTTGGCTGCGTGCAAGGCAAATGCCCTACCGCTGTGCTATCGCTCCAGCCCTGAATTCCACATTACTTTTTAAAATTTTTTTAATTGGATATCCATGAGATAGACCATTACAAAGCTGTTCATTATTGGGTTTCAGTCATAAATGATCCAGCATCCATGCCTACATCAGTGTACATTTCCCACAACCAATGTCCCCCATTTCCCCACCACCATTCTCCAATCCCCCACCCCCTATCCACAGCCTCCCACTATGGGAGGCACTTTCCTTCTTACTCTATTTCCAATTTTCCTTTTATGCATTATGGTTTTCAATACAGGTGCTAAGAGGAGATTGACCATTTTCACTAGAGAAGTAAGTAGTGACTTAAACATCCAATCTTTCCTGCAGGAGTCACCGGGCAAAAAATAATCTGTCTCACAACCCAACATTTTACTATAGGGTTAATAGGCTGGGTTCTCTCTCCTGCTTCACAATCTATATTAGTCACATATCTGGTGGATTCCAAATAGGAAATTATTCTTTATGATTAAATGCATTCCTAGGAATAAAGGATTCAAATATTGTCTGAGAAACTAGAGCAATAAATTGGCTTGATAGTTCAGCATCAAAAATGGGGGGATTCCGTGACTTAGACCTCCAAGCCTGCTTGGATCTGGACTGGGCCTCCTCCCCCCAGCTCCCCAGTTTTCCAGTAGCTTGGCAGTCACACCCACAAACTGCCCCTGGCGCCATGTAATCTCATCAATGTCCAAGATCCAGAGACTATAAACCAAAGCTCCCGGAAGAGAGTGACACAGAATTTCCTGACCCTGCACCAGGCTGTCTTCACTGATCTACCTTGAAGGGAGTCGGGGGGTGGGGTGGGGGGGGCTTTGTGTTTCTCTCCCTGCCTCAATCAGAACCCTGTAAATCGAAAACCTCCAGAACCCAACCGCCGCCATGCTCAAGGCCACCCTCCACATGCTTGGACGAGCCTCACCCAAGTGGGATCCTGCAGAAAAACCCATATGCAGGCCCTGTGACTGAGAACTCTAAGCTCACTTGGATCAGGGCTAGGTCTCCTTCACTCAGTTTCCCAGTTTTTCAGTAGCTTGGCAGTCATACCCACAAACTGCCCCCAGTCCCATGTAATCCCATCAACAGCCATGATCCAGAGACTATAAACCAAAGCTCCTGGAAGAGAGTGACACAGAATTTTCTGGAGCATGCAGCCATATTCATGGCCGCTCAGCCTCTTATACTCTAGCCCACTTACATACCAAAAGTAGCACACATTTTTTTGATTTTAACACACTTCCTTGTATTCTCTTATATATGGGCTTAAATGGCTCCTGAATGAAATACAACAGCATACAACAACCTTGACACACTTCCCTCTTATTGTGGTGGGAAGGTGCTCGGAGGTGGGATTGGTGTTTGAATATTATCTGCAATGAACTATTGTGAACTACTTTATGAAAATTAAATATATAAAAATTGCAAAAAATATGGGGGGGATTGGCCTCATCCTAGTTCATTTTAACTTCCTGTAGACCCTCTACCAGGATGTGGATAGACATTCCTCCTTTTATTAGCAGTTTTAGAAATCTAATGTACAGGATGCACAGGCTTCTTCCTGAAGCCAACATCCAGGAGAATATCACAAATGCACTGCATTGAAATAGAATCTACAACAAAGGATTCTGTCAATGCTAACTCTAGGATAATCTCAAATGTATTTGGGTCTGGATTGAAAAGGAGAGGGATGCATCTGAAAGTAAAATAGCAATCCTCATATAGAGACAAAATCCCTGAGATGGTCCTCTATCTAAGTTCCTTGGGTTGACTTTGAAACTGGAAAGATACATTAAGAAATTCTCTTTGTAGAGCAATAGTACAGCAGGTTTGGTGTTTACATTGCACGTGACTGATCTGTGTTTGATCCTTGGCATCCCATATGGTCCCCAGAGCTCACGGGGAGTG